GGGCCCCTTCCGTGCCCGGCCCTGTAGGAGCCACCCCTGCGCTTACCCGGGGCTGTGCCGGCCTTCCGAGAGCGGAGGGCGACCCTCTTCGGACACCCCGCGGCTCAGGTGACCGCGGCCATGGCTTTCCCCCACCGGCTGGACGCCCCAGAGCTGCCCGATTTCTCCATGCTCAAGAGGCTGGCCCGGGACCAGCTCATCTATCTGCTGGAGCAGGTCAGTGCCCGCCGCGCCGGACACATAGTTCTTCTGTGAATCCCTTGAGCCTGTTCTTGGTCTTTGGTGTTGACCTTGGAGGCCCAAAGGGAAGTGCTCGGGGCGGAAAACCAGAGGGCAGTAACAGCTGCCTGGGACCTGGGCAGAGAGTCCATGGAAATCACATGGGAGACACCCCAGCGCCAGGCATCACTTGGGGTGAAAGATGGTTAAGACACCTTTTTGTAATGTCTTTTTATTCTTTTAAAAGTTTTATTGATTTTTTACAGAGAAAAAGAGAGAGAGAGAGATAAAGAGTTGGAAACATCGATCAGCTGCCTCCTGCATACCCCCTACTGGGGATGTGCCCGCAACCCAGGTACATGCCCTTGACCGGAATCGAACCTGGGACCCTTCAGTCTGCAGGCCGACGCTCTATCCACTGAGCCAAACCGGTCAGGGCATGGTATCATTGTGATTAGGGCGCTCACACTCCAGGAGGAGCCGAAGGAAACACAAACCACCCCACACAGGGTATCGTGGTGAAGGAGTGAGAGCTAGGGTGCCTGAAGCGATCAGAATAAACCATCGGTTCCAGCTGGAGTGATCTAGGCGTTTCAAGGAGCTGGAATGTAAAGAATAAGCCTATTTTCCTTGGCGATGGGAGACCATGTTCCCGGCAGGTGATGGGTAGGAGCAAGATGGAGAAACCAGGGAAGGAGGGAGTGATCGGAAGTTACACAATAGGCAAGAATTTTTCCCCATCTGTGGCATGAAGCAGTTCTTTTTTAAAAAAAAATCTTTATTGTTGAAAGTATTACATATGCCCCCTTTGCTCCCCCATAGACCTCCTCCAGCCCACCCCTGCCCACTGCCCCAGGCACTCACCACCCCACTCCATGTCTCTAGATCCACTCCATTCATCAGTTTATTTTGTTAATTAGATTCCACATAGGAGTGAGATCATGGGATACTTGTCTTTCTCTGACTACTGACTTACTTCACTTAGTGTGATCCTCTCCGGGTCCCTCCATATTGGTGTTTCGGGCTTCTTAGGATATATTCCTAGACGTGGGATCACTGGGTCAAATGGCAGTTCCATACTTAATGTTTTGAGGAAACTCCATACTGTTCTCCACAGTGACTGCACCAGCCTGCATTCCCACCAGCAGTGCACGAGAGTTCCCTTTTCTCCACACTCTCCCAGCACTTGTCGTTTGTGGATTTGTTGATGGTAGCCGTGCAGGAAGCAATTCTTGAAGATGATTCTAATAGCCATGTGTGGAGGCAAGTAAATGGCCAACGAGAAGGCCCATTTGGAGACCATAGATCATACTGAGGTAATCCCAGCACTTGTCGTTTGTGGATTTATTGATGGTAGCCGTGCAGGAAGCAATTCTTGATGATTCTAATAGCCATGTGTGGAGGCGAGTAAATGGCCAACCAGAAGGGCCATTTGGAGACCATAGATCATACTGAGGTAATAAAGGCCCGTACAAAATTAGCAACATGGGACCCTAGCTGGTTTGCTCAGTGGATAGAGCATAGACCTGTGGACTGAAGAGTCCTGGGTTCGAGTTCTAAAGGCCCATACAAAATTAGCGACATGGGGCCCTACCTGGTTTTCTCAGTGGTTAGAGCATCGTCAGACTAAAGGGTCCCAGGTTCGCTTCCTGGTCAGGGCACATGCGTCGATTGTGGGCTCCATCCCCAGTAGGGGGCGTGC